GTACCTCTCCCTTTTTAGAACAGGGTGGGAGAACCCCACAAAAGCCAGGCTCTCTCTCGTTTGGCTGCAGCTGAGCAATGCAGCTGCACCCCTGTCCTAAACATGCAGCCTTAATATGTGTGGGACTGCCCCCTTGATTCAGCAGAAGGTTTTGTGGACACCGCCTCCTTCTTTAGGACGCACACAGATTCTGCAGCAGGGTTTGTATGGCGAAAGGGAGGATATAAATAAGAGTAATAAATGTATGCAAGGAGATCAATCAACATGGCAGAATGGTAGACAAGATACATGGCCCAGGCCTCCAGCTCAGAGCCTCTTTCTCGGAGTGTATTGACACCCTCCGCTTCGGGTCTCACACTACAGTGCTAAGTCAGCTGAAGGGGCAGGGAGAGAAAGTGAGACGGGGAGGCTGCTTGGTCTCAGCCCACCTCCCGCAAAAGGAGCCTCTGCTGCACAGCAAGTACAGTACCAAGCTCTCTAAAAATAGACGAGTGCTACATTATACTGTATGCTTATGTTTTACTGCTGGGCAATGAGCGCTCTATTGACGCAGCAAGGAATGCACACCGCGCCAGGGGCATGCCACGCCAGGGACTTGGCGCACCTAACTGCAAGGCTGGGGGCAGTCCTGGCGGGGAAATGCGGCGGGCTGGGGGCTGCTCCGGAAAAGGTAATGCCCCCCTTGCCTCAGGGCTTGGCGCCCACCGAGCTCTTGGCAGAGGTGAAACCAGGTTTCCAAACTCCTCGGGAGAAGGAAATCTACCCAGGCTGGGCTGGGGTGGACGGATGCGTCCTTGGCACACAGACAAGAAGTGGACAACGGGGAGTCAGCATTCCCTCGGCATACCAGACACGGAAAAAGACTCACTGGAGGGCAAAGCAGGGAAGTTAAGAGAGGTGGGTCTTTTCGGAAAAGCAAGCTTGCTTTAGGAGGCACAAGGAACCCCTTGATTCTCCTGGATGACAGACAGGTTGCGTTGAGCAGGCAGCTGTCCTGTTCAGGAAGCATTTCTGGAAGCGAATCTGTTAGAACCTACGAGCAGCGCTGCTGAATCAGAGGAAAGGTCCCTATCTCATCCCACCAGCCAGCTGCCGGTGGATATGCACAAGGAGGCCAGCAGCCAACACTCCCACCCATGTTCCCCAGCAGCTGGTGTGCACAGCCGTTCTGCCTCTGCTATCGAAGCAGAAAGTGAATGGTTTCTGCCTTTACACAAATGGCTTGCCAGTGTCTAGACGCACAGGAAGATACCTGGCATGCGGTCAGACCTTTGCTCCATCCAGCCCAGTACGGTCAACATGGGCTGGCAGCAGCGCTCCAGAACTTTCCCCCGAGTCCCTACCTGCCCACAAAGCAGGACGGCAGCAGCAGAGCTGAAGCCCTTCCACAGAACTCCAAGATACTAAGAAGCCATTTCACACAACATCAAGTTTTGTTTTGTTATTTTAAATGCATGTTACATGAATGTGCCTGCTTCCAAGACAGACTGACACCAGCTTGAGGTCCTGACCCTCCTCAGGACTTCCGTTGAACAAATTTGCTTCTCAATTGCGGTATGAAAATATATTTCAGGGCTACTGGCTCTTTCACAACATGGCTGTACCATGTGGGTGCCTGCCAGCCACAATAAATAGGAATCAGGGCACGTCTCTGAACAGTACTGGGACAGGCTGCATGCACGTTTCCACTGAGCTACACAGAGATATATGTACATATGCCAGCCTTCTCCAACATGGTGTCCTCCAGATGTTTTGAGCATGACTCCCACAGGCCCTGGCTGGCGTGGCCAGCGTCCAAGAATGCCAGGAGCTGCAGTGCCTGGTCAGACAAGGCCGATACACACGGCGTCCAAGCCAGCACAGTGCTCTGCCTTCACCCCACGGACCAGGAGGCTGTTGCAGAGCTTGTGCCTTCTGCCTATTCCTGCAAACGCAGACCGCAGAAAGGAAGCAACAGTGGCTCGCAGCAGCTTTCACCTGCAGGCACCTCCAGCGACAGGATTTCCAGGGGAAAGCAGAGAGCAAAGCTCGGCCTGGGGGCCTTGGACACTCCGCTAGCCGAAGTAGTGTAAGCTAAGCTGGACCGACCGGCCATCTGGGTCAGTTACAAGCCTGCTTCAAATGCAGCGCAAGAAGAGGTTTAAGTAAGAGTCTTCGCTGGTTCCCCGTTACAGCAACCCTAAAATGAAGGCAAAGGCTAAGCCATAATTCATTCTGACTGAGTAGCTGGGGCAGCTTTGCCACTGCGATCGCCTCGAGACTCATGGGTGCATTTCTGTACTGCTCGACACGGTAGGTTTAACATGCCTCTCGCCCCACCACCTCCAGTTTCCCAGCTGACTTTGCAGAGGCACCCTGCGAGAAGGAAAGCCACACGACGCGGGAAGCTCTAAGGCGCGTCCTAATAAGGCCGCTTCCCCCATGCTCTCTGCTGCAACGACGACAACGCTGTCAAGCCACAAAGCAACCGTCCCGGCTGACGTGCCCCACCTCTGTGACTCAAGGAGGTGTGCCAGCGGCTGGTTCCTGCGACAGCTCTTCAGCACTACCCAGGCAGCCAAAGATGCTTCCCCTTCCCGCCTGCCCAAGATGGCAGCCTGTTTTCACTTTCTACAAGGAAGCTTCAGCCCCATTTCACACCAGGCTCAGGCCTTCCTTGCCGCAATGGGAGCCCTGGCCCATGAAAGACCACCCTCACCAAAGGGGCCCCGAGATTGTTCCCCTTTCACATTTCATACATCCAACGCGCTCAGAAGACGCCCCTTTCCCGAGGCGGCTTGCAGTCCTTAGTGCATCGCAGTCGAAGCTCAGCTCTGCTCCACAGTTCCAGCCACACTCCTCCCCGCAACACTTCTGTGGATTTGCATCCCGGTATCTCTCTTCTCAAGGAAGTGGAAGAACCACCATTGGAACTGGCCCTTTCCCCTTCTCCGCAAGGCTTCCGTCTACTACTGTCCACCTTCACTTTCTCCAGCCTGCTGACTTTCTCCGCCATAACACACCCCTACAGTCTTCAAAGACCCCAGCGATGAGGGGCTGCCTGCTTCCCATAAGCTCATTCTTTGTCTTCCTCCAGAGCCCGTTCTCTTGCACACCAATTTCTACCTCCTCCCACTGTTACTGGAATGCCGCCAATACATATGTGAAGTGAACGAACAAGGAGAGCCAAAACCCTGCCCCAAGCAGCTTACAGTCTAGACCAACTGCAGGCTGGGCATTCTGGGAGTTGCAGTCCAACATGTCTGGAGGGTGGGGCAGGATGGCCCTGACTTAGGGAAGGGAAAGCAAATCTCAGCGACAGAAGCACATGCATTCAGGAAGCGGCCAAGGCTCGCTGTGGCATGGTGGTGCGTGTCTGGGACTGAGACACCTGGGCTCCAGCCCCCGCTCGGCCACGGAGCTCACAGGGTGACCTGGGGCCATTCTCTGACCCTCAGCCTAACCCACCTCACAGGGTTGCTGTCGTGAGAATAAAATGGAGAGAAGAACCTTGTAAGCTGCTCTGGGTTCATTACAGGGGGAAGAAAGGTGGGGCATTAATGTGCCAAAACAATAATTCCTCCAGTTCTTATTGTCCCTGTTGTGCCTCTCCTCTCCAACCAGCCCCATTTCCTGTTCCAGTTCTCCCCCTCCCCTCAACTTTGCAGCAAGATGTGGGGTGAGGAAGCAACACCATGTTTTTCCCTTTCACCACTCCCCTCCCTGCCGGAGGGACACTTTTCTCTCTTCTTTCTCCCCCCATAGTCCCCCTCACAACTAAATTCTCTATCCACAACAACTCAGTCATTGCCTCTCCCTTTCATATTGATCCCTTAGGACCACCATCAACACAGGCTCCACCACCAGACACAGCCCAGTGCTACTTCATAATTCCCCCCAAGGCAGCACTCTGGGTGCAGGAGCAGAGGGCTTCCCATCTTACCAATGATCTCTCTTCCGTCCCCTAATGACACTAAGTCCCTGCCTCCACTCATTTCGTCTTTACATGTAGTCTCCACGCTCATGCTGGACATATCGCATAGCCTCCAGTTAACAACCGTTCAGTTTCCTGGTTCAGCACGGAGAAAGAACGGGGGGGGGGAGCTTTCCCTCTGGACAGCAACACCCCCTACCTCAAGGTCTTCCTTGTCCAGCCCGTAGCTTTCCCCCTCTCGCACTTCCTCACATGGAGCTATAATACTCTTTACCTAACCCCAAGATACAACCCATAACATCAGAGGAACCATCCTTCCTCAGCCCACCTCAAATGCAGCATAGGGTGCCCGGGAAGCAGGAAAAGACGGGGAGAAGACACGACCCTCTCCTCAGGGGCTTTTGCCACGGAGTGGCCCACATACCTTCACCCTAACGGCAGGAGGGCCATGTTGCTGGAACGGGCCAGAGACCTCTCTCAGGGGTGGGAACCAACGGCGCAAAAGCACCTGGAGGGCCACACGTTCCCCACCCTTGCCCTTCTCGTTCAGCAACCGTTCCCACAACGTTCCTGAACACGCATCAGCCCTAGCCAGGGCAGCCCATGAGGAGCGATCACGAGAGCAGCGGGCCGAAGCCACAAGTGGCCCACCCTCGCTCGAACGGGGGGCAGGGCCATATACCACCGGGAGGACGGGAGCAGCCCAAACCCTCCGGAGGCTGCCCCCCTGCCCCCTCCGCTGCTGGGGGCACTGTCCCTCCACGCCGCCCGCCACCGGCCCCTCCACACTCGCCGGCCAGGCCGCCCTCGCCCCCTCCCGCACCCGTGCGCTGAGCCGCGGGGAAGGGGCGAAGCGCCGCGGAGGCGCGGAGCTTCCCCGCTGCTCCCGGGCGGAGGGCCCGGGGGCGCGGGGTCTCCCGGCGGCCGGGCCTCCCAGCCCCTCCCCGCTCGGCCCTCCGCCCCTGCGCAGGGCGCCTTGGCCCCTCCCTCCGCCTCCCCACCCAGCGCGGCCGCCATCCACTTCCCCCGCGGTCCCTCCAGCCAGGCCCCCGGCAGGAAGCGCGGGAGGCGCCCGGGCGCCGCTCACCATGATGTCTCCGCGGGACCGGGCTCTCCACAGGAGCGGCGGCGGCGGCGGCGCCTGCAGCAGCGGCGGCGGCGGTAGCAGCGAGGGCGGCGGCGGCGCTCAGTCCCTCGTCCGGGCGGCCTCTGCGAGTTGCGAGCCAGGCCGCGGCCCTCCTCCACTGCCTCCGCCTCCTCCGTCTTCTCTCCCCCCGCCCGCCTTGGTGTGTGTGCGAGCGCGCTCGCCACTTCCGCCGTTGCCTAGCAGTTGCACATCCGGGTCAGCGGCGCGCGCGCAGGCCCCGCGCCCAGCCCAGCCCCACCCGCCCCTTTCCCCTCGCGCGGGCCCCAACCAATCAGCGGGTGGCTCGCCGGGCATCGCCAAGTATGGAGCTGGGAGGCTCGCGCTTGCGCACACGGGCTTCCTGGCCGCGGGGGAGGAGACGCCTCTCGGGCACTGAATGGGAGGGAGGGTACCGTGTGGGGGAGACCATTCAGGTGCAAGGGGTGAGGGGGATAAAGGAGAAACCATTGGATGGGAAGCAAGGGGGTGTGAGGAGCACAGGAGTGGGGAGGGAGGAAGCAACTGAGTCGCGGGGCGAAGAAAACCGGAGAAAAATCTCTGAGGTGGTTGAGCTTGGCGGCTGCCCCGAAGTTGGCGTGGGGAGGGGAGCGTCATGAAACTGACACCCTCCGTGCGGGTGTTTTGGGACTACAGCGCCCATCATCCCCGCCACGGGCTGTTCTGGCTGAGGCTGATAGGAGCTGCTTCATGCGGACTTACTCCGTCCCACCCTGGGGCCCTGCGAATATTTTCGAACTGCAGTTTCCATCATCCACGACCCTCTGCCCTGCTGACTGAGGATGATGGCGGTTTTGGCTCAAGCAGGCCGCCAGACCTTCCCCTCACGTCAAGCCTTCCCCTCTGTCTACTGCCCTCCAGATAGTTTGCACAGCACCCTTCCCGATCCCCAGCCGTGGTGCACGTTGGATGGGGCTCATGGGCGTTGCAGTACAGAACACCTGGAAGTTGCCAGGTTGCCTACCGCCGTGTGATTCAGGCGTTTTCCGGCACCGCCGGTGACTGAGTCAGCCCATGTTCCAGCAAAAACAGCGGCGCTCCTCGGGGCACCTGGCGCGAGCCACACGCCAGCCTTGCCCCATCCCGGCGCCCTGCTGGCGGCTGGCCGGCGGCTTGCACCTCCCCGGCCGCTGGCCGCCCAGGATCTCGGGAGGGCCAGAAGCCGCCTGCCTCTGCACTGGACTCTCCTTTCGAACCGGTTCCTCTGGCCATGGCAGGGTGGCCAACTTTCTGCCCGGCCCACGCAAGTCTGTCCTCGGCGGCGGCTTGGGGTGCCATCTTGCGCACATTTAGCCAGGGGGGGGGCGGGAGGCCCGCAGGTCCCAGCACTGCTTGCTCATTAGGCAGCTTCTGAGATCTGGCCTCCGAGATACTATCAGAGGCGTGAAAGCAGGCCACCCAGTGTCCCCTGTGATACCATCCCACCGGGGCCAGCGGCACTGTGGGAAAGACAGCTGAATGCTGGGGGGATTCTGGGAGCTGCAGGGCTTTCAAGCTCCACCCCGCCGTTTTGCCGTGGCTCTCCAGGACGTCAGATCTGGCTGGCTCCTGAAGCCACAGACCTGCAAATGCTCTCCCACTGAGCTACAGTCCTTGCCCTACATGGCTCTAGTCCTCATGATTCCAAATAAAGAGCTAGGGTAAATAGGCGCATCCAAAGCTGCCTTATGCGAGGGGAGACCCTTGCTCCATCTAGCCCGGTTTGCCAACACCGACTGGCAGCAAGGGCACTCCGAGGTTCAGGCGAGATGCTTCCCCAGTCCCTGCCAGCGAGCTCAGTCCTCGGCTGCAGAGCCGCAATCGCTGCATTGCCGTCTCTGCCTTGGGCAAGGGCACACCTCACCTACGGGGTTTTAAGTGTATTTCCATCCCAAGCCACCTTTGCTTCGTGTGCGCCAGCTTTTCCCACGCTTGGAGGTAAGGCGGAAGCCATATCCACCTGTCGAATGGAAGGCTCAATTGGAGCAAAGCCAAACCGAGAAAAGGGTGCTAGACACCAGTGAAACCGCTGGGGCCGTCGGTGCGTTCTTGGACACGGGTGAGGTGGGCTGCTCCGAGACCGCCGGAGGTGGGACAGGAACCGCACATCCCGGGGGTGGGGGGACCTGGTCCGGCTCTTCCGCAGAGCTCTTGTCCAACGAACCTCTCCCGCAGCGCTTGGAGGCGGGCCTTGATCTCGCTGCTCCACGGGGCCAAGCCGGAACGGCCGTCGTTCACACGCCGCCGGCGAGGTGCCCACCGAGCCCCGGTGCGGGCAAACGCCTTTCCCCCTTGCCATCCCGTTATCGATCCTCTTGCCCCGCCTTCTCCTTCAGCCGCCGGACATTTTGACGTGGACATTGCTCAAATTGATTCCAGAACCGGCAATGTTGCTATGGGGAAGTGCGGGGGGAGACGTTTGCCTGCCTGCCTGCCTGCCTCCCTCCCCATGTCCGAACTCAAAGGGGTCATTCCATGACAGATCAAAGGCAGGAGTTCTTTGCACAGCACAGAAACCCCGGAAATCACCTCCACAAGATGACGTGATGGCCACCAGTTTGCATGATTTTGAAACGAGACAAAACAATTTTGTGCAGGAGAAGGCTCTCCATGCTGCTAGTCCTCATGGCTAGGTGCTCCATCCTGTCAGAGACAGTACACCAGTTGCAGAGAACGTGACTGGGAAGGTGCTGCTGCTCTGGGATTCTTAAGCAACACGTTTTCAGTGTGTGGCTTCTCTCCCACACCCCTGAGGTGCACCGGGACAAAATTGCGATGGGATCGCACAACACCTCCTGGATCCTCATGCCCTGGTTTAGGATTCGTTTAAGGGTAAGCAAGACTTGGTCCAGACAGACAGTCAAACAGAGGACTGGCTCCTGCCCAGTAACACACATGGACGCCTCTCCCTGGCCTAGATGGCATCCACCCCTGAACCAGAGGTCACCCCTCCCTGCATAGCCCTTCCCAGGGTCTCCATATCCTCCCTTTTCCAAGCAAACAGATGTGACCGTTTCCAACATGCTCTGCGATAAACATTTCGCCACATGCAGCTGGTCTTCATTTCAAGCCCTGCTCTTCTGAGGCAGGGAGCACAAACACTGCTTTGGCTGGCCAACTTAATGCAAATATTTGGGGGGTGGTGTGGGGGGGAATGAGACGCAGCTGTTTGATCCCTCTTTGTATCGAACCTCCGCAGCCCCACGGAGCCTGTCCCCGGGCCATAAAAGGAACCCTCTTGCCTTGAACTCGGCACATGTGCAAAACAGTGAGTAGGAAAGGCTTGGCCCAGAGTTCCCGCTGCTCTTGGACACACGCACGGCACCCCCCACCTTCCCTGGGGCTAGTGAGGCAGGCGTGTTCCCAGAAGAAAACCTGGTGGATTTTCTTCACGCCTTGCCTCCCTTTCCGCCCGCCCCACAAGCTTGTGGAAAGCATTACGGTCGTTCCGCTCTATAGAGAAGGGGGGTGGGAAAGGAGCAGGGCCAACGCCAAGGGCCGGCACCCCGATGGACAGGGGCCAGTGGACAAACAACCCAAGAGGTCGGTTCACTGACGTACGGGAACCATGGACGACCCTTCGGCCCTGCAAACACTGGCGCTAGGGGAACTGGGCACTGGACTGGACGGCAAACGGGAAGTTTGCTCATCCTTTTTAAAAGTTGCAATCTTTATAACAGAAGGGGGGGTGCCCTTCAACCAGGGGTGCAAAGCTTGGGTGCAGGCCTTCTACAGTCCCCCTCATGGCCACCCCCTCCCCTTTCTTCTGGCCACCCGTGATGTGGTGGAGTCCCAGTTTTTGTGCAGTATTTTCCCCATTTGAAAAAGCTGAAATTCCTCTCTCCAGCCCTTCATTACAGGAAGGACTTGTTTTCAGAGGGTAAAAAATGGCATTTTGAGCTTGCCCCTTCGCCTCTGGCCCTGCCTGCCACTGGGACTCAATCCCTACGGGCTTCTCCCAACTGCAATTTGGCCTACAGGCTCGGCACCCCTGCTCAAAATGCTTCTTTACTAATATTTGATAACCAATCAAGCGATTTCTAAAAAGCACAGGAGCTGAGCTGTTGAAAAAAAACACACACACACTGGCAATCCCTGGCCAGGAAGGTCTTCCATTTTTTTCAGTTGTGGTGGAAGATCAGATGGCAACAAAAGTCTTTCAAAACAAGAGTAGGATGGCTCTGGGAAGTGGTTTGGCAAAGCAACATCCCACCTGCCGGGAGCTTTAAAAACCAAAATAAAATGTCATTGCATGCATAAATCAGGCCTGACATGTGTTTCGAAGGAGAGATTTCTTCTCTGCCTTATGCATTCTATTAAGGAGAAAAGGCATCTCTGCCTGACCAGCTGAACGTCTTTGCAAAGCCACATTCATGTGCATTTAATAACAGGCTTTTCTGATCATGCTGTGAGTGACGGTAAATCGGCACATGTTCTCCCTCTGTGTTGTAACTAAGCGAAAAATAATTATCAACCAACCACCGGTTTTGTCTTTTTTATGGCTGTTGGAATGCATTTCCACTCAGAGTGAGCCAGATTTTTGTTTTATTTCTTAAGAATGAGGTTGGAAGTTGATTGGAGGCTTGCCAAATCCCCCTTGATTTGCCCCATGTGGAGACAAATCAGAACCTCTGTGTCAGAGGGAGGAGGAGGAGGAAGGACATAGTTCAGGGATGCACTGATGTCACCCGCTAGACTTTCTTTGCTCTGCAAAGAAATTCGGTGATGGTGAGATTTTCAAGTTATGCTGGATGGCAGTCTGGCATGGACTAGCAGATATGTTACAGGGCCTGCTCAGTGGTGACCCCCCCCCAAGATCTGGAGCCCCCTCCCAAAAGTTGGTGTGTCTAGCTCCCTGCCTGCCTCTTTTAAGTGGATGCTTTAATTCGAATCTGCTTTTTAAAAGTCAGTTTTGCTTTTCAATATTATCTCCTTCTTTTAATGGTCATACGATCTAACTGGAATTGCTCCATGCTACGATTGAGCCTAACATGTACCCGGAGCTACACTTACTGTTGAATGTGGGGGACAGTTCAAACTGAACTTCTTGTCACAACAGCTTTCAGTTCCTGATAGAGGGAAAGTCAATGCTGAGAAAGGAGAAAATCCAGTTTTTTTAAAAAAAAGAAACTGCATGATGAAAACATAAAATATGAAATCAATGGAGGGAAAGAGATGCTCACTTCATGGTGGGAGCTGGGCTAAAACTTGGGTGTTGAACCTTTTTTAGCCGAGGTTCAATTTCAGAGACGTTGGGGGCTGTGCACCAGCGAGGGCAAAAAGGCAGTCGAAATACCAGCATATTCTGACTTAAATCTTGTACTGCTACTAACTGAACCTTAGGAGAGGCACTTCAGCTTTTTTAAGGAGGGAAAAAAATCCAAATACCAGGGAGAAAACCTAACGGGCCATCTCAGAGACTCATGAGGACTGGAATCATTTTTGGTCCCGAGTCGAGGGCTCCAAACACACCAGGAATAGCAAGTTATAATGTGGGAAGAGATTGCTTTTAGTAACGGTGAACACAGATGCTTTAAGCTTGCTCACGGTCATGCTAAGATCTTGATTCATTTTTTGCTCACGCTTGCCGTGAACAGTTCCCCTGATTCTTATCCACTTATTTATTTATCAGACTCACATTATGAGAAGTGCTCATAAAACCCATTGCGTTGTGATGGGAAGGATTTGGAAATGGCATCATCTGATAACAAATATCAACAATTGCATTAGATGGGTTTAATTGCCAGCATGTATCTATGGCAACAGAATGAAAAAGCCTGACCTTTGTCTTCATCTGCTCCTCCATCCTCTTTTTTTCCCAGGAGGTGGGAAATGGATTCAAGGCTGTTAATGGAAAACGTCTTCCAGATCGCCGTTTGATTGCCCGACAACTTGCGGATTAAAGAGAAGCAGACACAATCTACAACCAGCAAAAAAAGGAAAATTGGACTTTGGAAACAATTAGGTGGAATATTTTCCATATCTCTTTTGGAGAATTTTGCACGGGGGGACCCTTAATGCATGACTGCCGAGGAGAAGGGGGAGAGGTTCAGGTTAATAGGATTCATCTTGAAGAATGAATGAATGCCAGACAGAAGGGGACAGACTATTTAAAGAGGTTTTCTTCCAAGCAGGAAGGATTGCAGCCTTGACTCCTCTAAGAGATACGATCCAGTTCCTGGGTTTGACACTGAAACCCTCTGCACCTCGTACTGGAAAAGTCGGGTAGGAATTTTTTGGTGGTGAGAGAAAGCACTCTGCGGATTCTCAGAGTTCCTTTCCTCTCACTTCCCAAGTCCAAGAATGGATGTTTGGTGGCCAAGTGCCCTGCTTGACAAAGGTCAGTCCTCTCTTTGAAAGTCTGTCAAGAAACAGACTTCTTTTGAAGGGCTGCTCACCCGAAGCCAGGTTTAAAGATAAATGTAATGCAACAATAATAAAGAACCCTAGAAAGCTGCTGACAGAGGAGGCTGTCAGTGGGACTTATCCACTGTGGCTTTTATTATAGATTCTCTGTGGAGTACCATGGATAGCTCCTATAAAAGCAAAGAATAAAAGCCTCAGTGGACAAAGAGCCCCGTAGCCCCCCAAGTCTCCCCCAACAATTGAGACGTATGCCTTCTATTGACCCAGTTTGTACAATACCTCAAACTGGAGTGTGGGTTGAGAATGAGTTAGCTATCACTGGATTGTGCTAACAAACCATGGTTTGCTTAACCACATTCTGCAAGAGAGGAATGGAATGTATTGAGCTACATGAACTACAGGGGCTTCTGGCCACCCCTCCAGGCCTCTCCCATGGCAGGATTTGAAATCGACTGAGGGGGCATCCACTTTACGCCAGTTTCTCAGACCCAGTGCCCTCCAGATGTATTGGCTACAACCTCCATCATCCCCAGCCACCTGGTAGGGAACAATGCATGCTGTAGTTTTTGACATCCACAGGGCAGGGGGCCAGCATGGCAAATGCTGCGCAGGGGCTGATGGGACCTGCAATCAAAATATGTCTACGGGTCAGGGAGAATGGAAGTGCTGGCCGGGGATGATCGGACTTGTAGTCAGGCAGCTCCGAAGGACGATGAGCTGGGGAAGCTGCACCAACCGAGGCCTCGCGCTGCCTTTCTAGGACGTGATGGTTTTTAAATTATCTTTTAAAAGGATGGTGCTAAATACCGGGGGGGGGGGCGCGGCTGCCGGAGAGGAGGATGGCCACGGATTGAGACGCGCGGGCCTGCGGCGCCGCCGGCCTAGCGCTCCGCCCGCCCCAAGGTCACACGTTCAGCGCCCGTTGCTAAGGCCCTCCCTCGGTTACCCTTAACAACGGGAGCGCGGCTGGAGCGGCGGAAGCGGAAGTCCCGCCCATTCCCCTCCGCCTCCTCTGCCTGAGCTCTCGCGAGAGCTGCCCGGCTGAGGCAGAGGCGGCGGCGCCTCTCGCGAGACAGCGTGCCTGCCTGGGCGGGCGCGCGGCTTGAGTGGCAGGCGCGCGGAGGAGCAGGGGTGGCGGCGGCGGCGGCCAAGATGGCGTCGGAGAGCGAGCTGGGTCGGAAGTGGGACCGGTGTTTGGCCGACTCCGCCGTCAAGCTGGGTAAGGGCGGGAGGGGCCTGCAACACGGGGGGGGGGGCAGGGCACGGGGGAGGGGGCAGTGTCACGGCGCGGGACCAGTCCATCGGGGAGGGGGCCTGTGTCATGGAGGGCGAGGGTGAATGACCCTTCGTGCCATGGGGAGGGTAAAGGGCGGAAGGTCCCCGCATCATGGAGGGAGCTAGTGCACGGGGGCGGAGCTTGTGTCATGGAGGAGCGGGAATAAATAGGGGAGGGGGGCTGTGTCCTGGGGGGATCGAGCCCATGGGAGGAGGGAAAGCGGGGTAGTAAATGGGGAAGGGACCTGTGCCCCGGAGTAGGAGGTTGGTTGATGGGCCTGTGACACAGAGGGGGTAAATAAATGGGGAGGGGGACCTATCATGAAGAACAAGAGTCCTCTTCGCATCTTTGAGTGCTCATTTCCAGGTTGGTTGCATTTGCGGCAGCCAGCTGTGTTAGTATTGCTCTTGTTATTTATTTCAGTTCTATGGTGCCTAACAGCTGAAATTCTCTGGACAGTTTACCACAGTACATAAATGCAATGCAATAACATTCAATCATACTCTAAAAACATGCAGTGGAAAATGATCCTATCAAACAAATCCGCCTGAAATTTGTAATGCCTTGAAGCCCGTGAATAACCAAGCATATCTTAGTGTAAAGGGCCGTCTTAACCTAACTTGGATAAGATGACAAGGTTGGTGTCAGGCAGGCCACAGTGGGGAGGTCATTCCACAGACGGGGTGCCACCACAGAGAAAGCCCTCCCTCATGTTGCTGCCTTCCGAGGGAGGAGTTGGCGCTTGGAGGAAGGCCCAGGATGTTGAGTGTAGTACAGAGGTAGATTGCATTTGGGAAGGATGTGATCCAAAACTGTGAAAGGCTTTATAGGTTAAAACCAGCACCTTAAAATTGGGAACAAAGGCATACAGGCAGCCAATGCAAGTGAGTCAGGACTGGGTTGCTGTGTTCGCACTTATAGTTAGTTCCCAGTTAACTGCAGCATTCTGCATGAGCTACCGTCAATCTTCAACTGGCATGCTTCCTTGGCTTGAGCATTACTGGAATGAAGAGCTAGAGAGCCTCAGTTCTGCCCCCTTTCCAGACTAGGCGAATGGCTGCCACACAATGCAGCTTGAATGCACAGAGTGTCATAGAGTGAGGCCTGCTGTGAGCTGCCAGGTGCTTTGATACATACACCTTCGAGAGGAAAGTTGCACAAGGCTTTCCCAGCATCTTATGTCTGATGTCAGCTGCAAATGTGAGACTTTTGTCTGCAGCCAATTCCCCCTTTCCCACACAGAGGAAAGTGCTTTTAAGTTTCATGTTATAAAACTTGTTTACCTGTGATAGGTAGTGTTGAAAAAGAAAAAAAAAGAAAAAAATAAGCATGACTCATTTTGAATTGCAAATAGGTGAATATCTGATTTGTGCTTGATGCTGCAATTTTAATTTCTGGCGTCTTCTGTGCAGGTAATAATTTGGTCTTAAATGAACGGGAGGGCAGGTGGCAAAATGGACTGCGTGAGAACTTGATATGTAAGCAGGATTGAGGCGATGATAAGATTTCTGGCCGATAGCAGCATAAGATGAGACCAAGAAGAGTCCGTCTAATTATGTATCCTGCAGTGGGAAGCTAGATGCTGCCAGGAAATTTGCAGAAAAGGCTCAGAAGGGATCATGCTGGTGAACTGTTTCTGAAACAGAGGACCAGTTGAGCTCCCAGATAATGGCTATTGATTGACCCATCTTTCATGAACTGATGTAATCATGTATTCAGCCAGACATAACCACTGTGGTACTATTTCTTCAGGGGTCTGTTTTGCACACGATTTGAAGCTGCAGCATGCTTTGTCAGAATCTGACTTGCTGTGCCCGGTCCCAGCCGCACAAAGAGACCACGGTTGATATTTGCCACAAGCAGAGGAGCCCAGCAAAAGCTGCCTGAAAGGGAAACTGCTCTGAAAGCTGGCAAAATGGGTTGGAGAAAAATAATGCTGGAAACCGGGTAAACGAGCTCTAGTTTCCTCGCTTGTCTGCAAGACAAATTCACAACTAAAGCAGCAAACCATGGTGAGCATCGGCCACAGTTTAGCATTATGTGTGAATGAAGTCTGTGTTTGCAGTGCAGGGTTTCAAGCAGGTTCCATGACAGGTGTAAGGCTGCAAGATTGTGAGTTTCACACAGTTCCTCATCTCGGCATAGAAGCTGCTTGGGGGCAGCCGCCAGTGGCAAAAGGTTCCCCTGCATGCAGACATGGACCTTGGCAAGTGGTCCTGCTTTGCCTGGCAGGTGGCAGGTTCCGTTCCTAGCGCCTCCGTTCGAAAGGGTCATGTAGCTGTTGGTGGAGGAGACCGTTTAGTTCAGCATAGAATCCACAGGTGGGCAGAAAACAGGCTTCCAGGTGCTTTGGACTACAACTCCCAGTCTCAGCATTCCGAGCCATCGGCCATGGTGGCAAGGGCTTCTCGGAGCTGAAGTCCAAGAACATCTGGAGATCGCTTGTCCCAGATCTGCTGCAAAAGGTTGATGACAGAGCCTGTAATACCCTCAATGACGAATGGACAAAGTGACTATTCTATGCATGCACTCCTACAAAAAATGAAAAGGCAACCTCTGCCTTGCCTTGCAGGTGCAATTCAGTGCCGTATTTTTCGCTCTATAAGGCGCACCTAGTTTTTAGAGGAGGGATCCATGGAAAGCTTCCTGATAATCACAGGCACATTCCCCATCACGTCCCCATGGGCTTCGTTAAAAGACGGGTTGCCATTTGAAAACACACGCCGACCTGGGATGAACAGCTCTCACCTGCGCCGGGGGGGGGGGGGGGCGGAGCAGGGCGCGCCGAGCACGTGCCGGCAGTGGTCTTCCGGGCGGCGTGCCAGTGGTGGCGGCAGGTCTTCCCGGGCGGTGGGGGTGTGCAGTCCGTCTCTCCGTGTGGCCGGTGGGTTAAAGCCCACGGCTCCTCCTCCTCCGCATGCCTCCCCCTGAGCGGCACAGCTCTCACCTGCGCCGGACGGGGGGTGCGGAGCAGGGTGCGCCGAGCACGTGCTGGCCAGGTGGTGCTATGTGGTGCAGGCAGGCCGGCAGCGTCCCGGGCGTCAAGCACACACACATTCGCTCTATAAGACGCACAGACGTTTCCCCTTAATTTTGAGGGGGGGGGAGTGTGTCTTATAGAGTGAAAAATACAGTATGTTACATAAAAAGTAATTAGGAATCCAGAAAATTAAAGGAATGATACTGTAACTGATAACTATGGGGATGATACAAAGTGAGTTCACAATATTGGGTAATTGTTATCAAAATGTAATTGGCAAAGCAGTTTGGATAATATCCAAAGAGAAAATGCTCAATTATAACTCGTCACTAAAGATCAAAAGGGTTGCGTGAGAGATAGAAAGATAAGAAACTATTATTCAAGGTCAAAGGGAACGTTAAACATTTTTGCTGATCCATTAATAAACAAAATTGTTATGTATGATGCAAACATTTAAAAAAAAAACCAATATATCACTGTCTAGAAAATCTCATGCACTTAAATTTAATTAGTCAGCTTTGAGTAAGAAGTCACTTTGCTAAAGGCATAAATCAAAATTAATTGTTTCTTACTTGAAAAGTGTGTGTTCAAGCTTTTGTATGTTTGAGCTATGTGATAATGAAGGATTCTTTTAGCAGGTTAGATTCTGAGCCTAGAATTATGGAACTAGAATTAATATGGGCATATAGGCTGGCAGTAATTTAGAAATTCTACAAATATGGTCTGATTTGGGAGTCAGGTAGTTAACTTTGATAATGAAGCTGCTTGGCTGTGACCGTGCCAAGCAAAATGGGCCCAACATTTCTCTCTTCTGATTAGGGGAACTGCTTAGGAAATACAGCGTAGGATACCCTGTTCCTTGCAATTTAATAGGGGATCTGTTTTTTATCAGTAAAAGAAAGAAGTGGATTCAGGGAATCCCGTACCGTGATCGCTGCAAGTGTTAGACTCGGATTGCATTCACCAAGCGAAGAGGTGTACGCTTTGTTTAGAAGTGCTTTTGTCTGCAGTAGGAAGCTAAGAGGCTCTCCCCGATCCGCTGCCCACCCCATGCTGGCTGGGGAGCCCTACCAGTTGGTGTGCAACAGCTCTGGATTGTGTCCCTGCCAGGGAAAACTGCCCTGCGGGCTCAGCCCATCCACATGTAAACTGGGCCAGCGGATCCCTCATGGGGGAGCGCAGGCTTGCTGTTGGGAGACCAGCGCAGCCCTTCTTCCGAGGATCAGCCTCCCTTTTTGCACCACTCAGCGTCGGACACACTTTTCCCAGCGGGGGCCCTGCCCAAGATCCTCGGTGGGGGTTTCTCTCCACCTGCTACTTGGGCACAGGCTTTTGGGCCGGTGTGCTAGGAGGAGTCATGCCGCTCCTTTTGAAGGGCTCGGGAATTAATTCATTTGTGCACGCAGCCAGGGCCGCAGTTGCAGAGGTGAGCACGCAAGCAGAGCCGCCGCGCTGGCGATGGCAGGGCATTTCGCCTGGGGCTCAGTCATGGCCTGGGAAAGCAGGAATCTGTGTCTTTCAGACCTGTGAGTCTAAACTGTTGTGGAACTGACCCGTCCCTTAGAGGAGCAACCATTATGCAGCCCCAAGAAAGAGAGATGGAAGTTAAGGCCCCAAACCCACCAAGTTTCAGAAGGTGTAATCCTTCTGTTACAAGGATCAAGACAGTTATCTTACCCTGTGTGTTTATTTAAACACACAGACTTGCTAACTGGCTTGCCAAAAGGTCATGAAAATTACAAATGCAAGGATAAAGTCAAAACAGTGATCATTGTTTGTGTCACTGCCGTGCCAGAGTCTCCAAGAGACCCAGTCAACTTGCCCCTTCCCACACACACGGTCTGGCGGCTTTCCAGCTTTTAAGCAGTTCCTTTCCCGCCACCCCCCAGCCTTCCTTTCCTAGGGCTTTGTCATCAGCAGTCAGAGTGTCAAGCTGAGAAAGATTCGCCTTTCTTAAAGGAAA